GCTGTTGCCTTGAGCAACAACCCTTATTTTGGGGTCCTTATAATAAGGATCCTGTACTATATTAGGGTCCCCTATTTTCGGAAACCCCCAGATGCCTGGCAACGTGAGCCTGAGCTCCACGAACCCAGGCCTTGACACCCTCCCACAAAGCAGCCACCACAGATCCTCCAAGACTCCCCGAAGAGCAACCCCTTAAAACAACAACTTAAGTCCCCCTACAGATCTAAAACTCTAGAAAACATACAATTAAAATCCTCCTACAAATCTAAAACTCTAAAAAATTATGCAACCAAAGGCCACCCTTGAAATCACCCCACAGACCTAGAGAAGTCCTGTGCCGGCCAGCCTTGGGATCGGGTGGCAGCGTGAGGTTCAACTCCAACAAGGCCCCTTGGCACTTACACTACAGGGTTTAGAGTTTAGGGTTTAGGGTTTAGGGTTTACGGTTACTGTAGAACTTACGTAAGGGTCTGCATCCCGCCTTGAGGGCATCCGTTTTCCCTCCCTTCTTAAGGGCCTCCCTTTCTTGCCCCCTCTGCAACGCCTATGCCGGGGCCTCCGACAGGCTCCCGCCGAGCCCCGGGCCGATATAGTTCGAGACCAGCTGCTCCTGAAAGCGCAAGGTCTTCGGGCAAAAGGGGCCTTACTTAAAAGAGGGGGGGTGCCGTTGCCTTACATAAAAAGGGGTATTATGGTCTTGCATAGAAATCAGAAAGGGTGTGTATATATATATATATATGGGATGTACAGTGAAGTGAGGGTTATGGGCTTGTGGCGTCTTGGCACGGTGCCTTGCCAATTGGACAAGTGTTTGGGGGTATATTGTCGTAGAGTTCTGCAAGGATGGTAGAGGAAGAGTACCTAAACCCTAAACCCCCAGAACTTCGGCCTTTCCGGCGAGAACCGCATCCCCGAAGCCAGCGTCTCCTCTTCCTCTCTGCTGATCCGCAGCCCCGGCGGGAGACCTGAGATCTCGAGCCATCTAAGAAGTTTAGGGTTTAGGGTTTAGGGTTTAGGGTTCAGGGTTTAGGGTTTAGTAGAAGTGGAAGTAGTAGGACGAGGTGGACGACGAGTGCAGGAGAAGCAGCCGCACCTGTCTGCACCAGTATTAGCACTGAATCTCTGTATCAGCGTCTTTGTTGGCATTGGCCATTGTCTTAGCGTTCTCTGGCTGTGCCAACAACAGTACTGGTGCCAGTACCAGTATTACTAGCACTGGCACTGACTTCTTGACATGAGTTCTGGCATCAATACTTTTGCTTTGGTAGCGGCATTCGTCTTATCATCAGGGATTAACCCCATCGGGTTTAGCAACAGCATTACCTCACAGTCTGTGTTATCACTGCTAGCTGAAACTGCTATTCTCGTTGGCGGTTAGACTGCTACTGGTTCGTTGTTGCTGCTGACTCTGGCCTCTCGTCTTGTTCTAGCCTCCTCTGTTTCATTCACGCACCCGATCAAAACATTGGAAAAATCCAACTCCGAGGAAACAGAAATCTGGGAGACCGTTTTGGCTCTAGCTTTTAATCTAAGCTTTAACGACTTCGGGGTGCAGGTGGCTTTGAGGTTTTAGCACTTAGTGGTTTGGGGCTGTAGCAAACCAGGCAGAAGCAGGACCCCGACGCGGTTGGGTCTTGGGCACCGGGAGAGCGTGGATGGCGCGTGCCTGGTGCGGCAGAGAAGGGAAGCCAAACCCTCAGCCGATGAGGGGACTAAATGATAAACCCGAAACCCCAAACCCCTGAACCGATGAGGGGACTCTTTGCTAGGCGAAGTGGAAGCAGCTCACCGACAAGTCCTAAGACATGGATTCAAGGAAAGAGGGCTTGAGTATGGAACCCTAAAGAATCACTTAGAAGGAACCCCCGCAAGAGACGATACGTAAGGAACCCTAAAGACGAGGTTATACCACGCAACTCAAATGAGGCTCGCGCCGCGTCGTCGAGCAGCTGGAAAGGGCTGGACGCCATCTCCGCCTCAGAGGGAAAACGAACCCAAGAAGCTTCCAAGCCCTGAGCCCTTAAACCCTAAACCCTAAACGCTAAACCCTAAACCCTAAACCCTGCTGAGCCCTTATGATCCTGAAAACCTAAGCCCTAAGCCCTACCTTACAAGCCCTGAAGCCTCACAAAAAAAAAATGGAACCCTGTGGGCCTGTAAAGCCTGAAACCGCCCAGGGGCGAAAGGCCTGGGCTTCCCGCACGCGACTCGGAAGGGGCCCCTTTTCCTTCACGTGCCGCGACGCAGATCGAAGTCTTTCGAAGCAGGGCGGCTGGGGCTTGGGGAACCTGGTTCCTGTAGGGGACGGTTGAGGGTCTAGGCGGTCTAGGGTTGAACTTTTAGGGTTTAGGGTTTGAACTTTTAGGGCGTAGGGTTTAGGGTTTAGGGTTTAGATACGATAAGGGCTCCTTCAGGGGGAGGCACATGAGGGCAGTAGGAGGGTTCGAGTAAACTAGCAGGGCTTCAAGAGGGGTGCTATGAGGATACTGTGAAGGGGTCCCAGAAGGATATTTTGAGGATGCTACAGAGTTGTTTTGCTTTCGGGGGTTTAGGGTTTGGGGCTTTCAGGGTCGGGGGTTCAGGTGTTCTTTCAAATTTTTTTTTGAGGATCTAGGGTTTAAGGCTTAAAGTGGTTTGAAATAAACAACGTCTTGAGAAAGTCCAGTCGATGTTCCCCAACCCCCGAAAAGCTCAAGAACCCGGAGCGGCCCGGATCTTGAGACGCCCTCTTCACAGGTCGAGCGCTCGTGAAGGGATGCCCCAGAAAGAAAGGGGGAAGCCGAAGTGAGCGAAACTGGGAGGAGCCGCGTGTCTTCAAAAGATGGCCGGGGGCAACCTGAAAGAACCTTCTTGGACATGTGCTTGGGCGACAAGATCAGAGGAGCTGGACAGTCTCAGCTGGTTGCAGCGCTTGAGAGATTACTCACGGCCCGGCAGAGCCGCGATGAATCTCAGCAAGCATGCTTTCAACACCAGCCCGGAACGCGGCTCTTCCTGCTTCCAAATGGATTATGGATTGAAGGGGTTCATCTGTGCATCCCCTTGGAAAGCGGGCTCTACCTCAACACCCTCGGCCCTGAACCCTAAACCCTAAACCCTAAACCCTAAATCCTAAACCCTGAACCCTAAACCCTAACCCCTAAACACCCTTAAAAAGCCTAGGCCCGCAACCGAATCTCAGAAGATGAGAGGCGGCGCATGGGGCCCGCGAGGTCGACACCCTCACGACCCAGCGACCCTCTCGTCTTCGTGTCCTGCATCTTGAAGGTTTAGGGTTTTAGGGTTTTAGGGTTTAGGGTTTAGGGTTTTCGGGTTTAGGGTTTAGGGTTTATGGTTTGGGGTTAGGGTTTAGGCGACTGAGGGGTCCTAGGAAGTATAACAGGATTTTGGGGTAGTTCTCTAAAGTAGGGTCCCTTTTCGGGTCCTGTTTATAAGGGTGATTGGGCCCAAGAGGAACCCTAATTTGGAGAACTACCCATTTTACAGAGAAAGTTTGTAGGGGGTAGGGGTGGCCTTCAACATTCCAGTGTGCTCATGGAGCAACTTTGAGCCCTCCTCGCTCAACAACAAACGGCTCCTTGACGAACGACCAGGAGACCTCACAGTAACGCTTACGGTCCCCCTTTACAGGTCCCCCCCTTCGGGCCCTAGGGTGCTCTGACGTGGCGCGCCCTTTTTTTGGTACCCTTTATAGTAACCCCCTGATCTGCAAAAAGTTTTGAGAAAAACCGACAGCTCGCACACCACACACCAAGCCCCACCGCAGAATGCAGGAAGCTTAGTCAATCTCGAGAGGAAGACGGGTATTGGACAAAACACGAGGTGGTGTCAGACTGCAAGAAAGAGGGCATCCACGGGTTCCCTAAACCCACTCCCAGCTCGGTGATCCTGAGGTGGGGATCCTAAAGGCTCAGATGTTGGGAATTACGCTCTAGGACGTTTAAAAAAAGGGTGCCGTAAAGATTAGGGTAGGGTCGTGGGGCAAAAAAAATGTTCCACTGTAACTCTCAGGAGTATCCCGACGGCTCAAGCTGCCCCCCAGAATCGCCATTCTCAAGAATGAATGGACCATTCAACCTTACACCCTAAACCCTAAACCCTAAACCTTACACCCTAAAGCCTAAACCCTACACCCTTGCAACCCTAAACCCTTACGGCACCCTGAAAAGGAGCCCTTCAGGTCCTGCATGCTGGCTGAGCTGTGCCTCCTCAAGCACAGGACTTCTGGCTGTTCGGGCCGGGAGGGCTTCCGCCACAAAACGCATTTGTAGGGTTCAGGGTTTGGGGTTTAGGGTTTGGGGTTTGGGGTTTTAGGGTTCAGGGTTTGGGGTGCAGGGTTCGTTGTGGAATAGCTCTTAGGCGATGATGTCTTGCGACAAGGCTTTGTGTCGAGCTGTGTTTTCTTGTTAGGGCGGCAGGGCAGCGCAGGGCAGGGCAGCAGGGGGGAAGCAGGGCAGGGCACGGCGGGGCAGGCTCACAACTATAACCCGATCATCATAATACTAATAATAATAATAATAATAATAACAGTGATAATAGTAAGAATAAATGTAAAAGTAAGAAAAATACTCACAATAACAATGAAACTGCAGGAATAGCTATAACTATAACCCTAAACCCTAAACCGCAAACCCTAAACCCTCTAAACCCCAACCCTAAACCCTAAACCCTGAACCCTAAACTCCAAACCCTGAACCCTAAACTCCAAACCCTGAACCCTAAAACACTAAAACCAGAAACCCTACAACCTAAAATCCTCAACCCTAAAACCCTAAAACCCCAAACCCTAAAACCTAAAATCCTCAACCCTGAACACTAAGCCCCAATAGCTATAACCCGATCCGGAGCTCCTCGGAGATCGCCTCAGCGAGCCGGTGACGCCTGAACTCTCGGGGCTTTTCACTTGGGGCTTCGTTAGGGTTTCGGGGTTTGGGGTTTAGGGGTTTTTAGGGGCTTAGGGGTTTTGGGTTGAGGGTTTAGTGTTTATGCGTTTAGGGGTTTAGGGGTTTAGGGGTTTAGGGGTTAAGTGTTTAAGGGTTAAGGGGTTTAGTGTTTCGGCGTTCAGGGGTTTAGGGTTTAGGGTGCATGCAGTTTAGGGGTTAAGGCTTTTGGGGTTTAAGGTTTGGGGGTTTAGGGTTTGGGGTTTAGAACTTAGGGTTTAGGGCTTAGGGCTTCGGGTTAAGGGTTTAGGTGGTTGTTGGCCCTATCAGTATGATTGCTGGCATGACTACTCTTGCTACTACAAGGATCACGACCATTACTATGTTGAGTACGAGTCACGTGGAGTACTAGCGCGATGAATACTCGTATGATTTTCCTACGAAATTAGTCGTTACTATTCGGAGTGCTATGATTATTGTTGCGACTCCTAACATCGGTATCGAAGGGGAGTGGCTCGTTCGGGCTATCGGAACTTCCACCCTAAAACCCTAAACCCCTAAACCCCTAATTCTAAGGGATTTTATTTCGCCCAAGTATTACGCCCAGGATTCGGGCAGGTTGTGGGCGCTGTTGCGCATGGCACTTTCAGCACGCTGATTGGCTGACGTGCTGGGCCCGCCCTAGGCCCCTCCCCAAGCCCCTCCGGCAAACTGGGTGTAATAGGAATGCCCGCAAGTACTGCTCGATTTTCAGCCCCCAAGCCCCAAGCAGCCACCAAACCTTCCCAGGCCCAGCCGGAAACTGGGTGTAATAGGAATGCCCGTAGGTACTGCTCGATTTTCAGGGCCAAGCCCCAAGCAGCCACGAGCCCTCCCGGTGCTGAAAGTGCCATGAGCAACACCGCCCACAACCTGCCCGAATCCTGGGCGTAATACAAACACCCTTAGACCTGAACCCCTAAACCCAAAACCCCTAAAACCCTAAACCTAAA